GAATCCCTGCCTGGGTCAGCCCATGCGGTAGCACCTTCTATACATACTATGCTCTGTGCGCATGAGAAGACACAGTGTGTCTGTTTGGGCCGTCCCATGTCAGGGCGGCCTGTTTTTTTAATATTTTTTCGTTTTCCTTTTTGGTCTTCGTTTTTTCTACTTTAAACAATTTGGGACTTCAAAAAAGTTTTGCAAATTAAAAAATATAAATTTTGAAATAAAATGTTTGAAAATCCATAAATGTTTGTGTATTCATAAAATGTTCATGACTTCTAAAAAATGTTTGTAATTTTTATATTGAAAACAAATGTTTGGAAAATAAAAAACTGTTCATGATTTTTTAAAGTTTGTGTATGAAAAAATGTTAAAGAAATTGAACAAAATTTTGCCAATTCAAAAAATGTTCATGAATTAAAAAATATCCTCAAAATCCAAAAACTGTTCGTGACTTATAAAATAGTTTATTGATCCATAAAATATTCACAGATTCAAAAAATGAGCATGCATTTCAAAAAATGTTCATTAAATCAAAAAAATGTTTGTGAATTTTCAAAAATTGTTCCACCAATTTCCAAAAAAAAATGTCGATTCTAGAAATATTGATTGTGTTTTGCGAGTACATTCAAACGTACTCACTAGCTTGTTCCTAGCTAGTGTCTTGGGCAGATTACGAGAAGAGCACTACGAGGACACCTCGCAACCTAGGATTTCGAATATAGCAGCCACGCGAGATAGGAGTTATCCAGGCGAGCTATTCCTGTGGGAATGGAGTCCCATCAACGTTGGAGATCCACGAGTCGCTTCTATCATCCACCACTAAAGATCCTTGTTATATTCATTGGACCTTTATGGTCTTGTACTCAAATTCTTGTGACTGCTTGGAATTCTGTATTAAGGAAGTGTCTACCAACAACAGTAATCCTAGGGCCGTGCGCCCATGGCCGACACCTGAGTTGTCCCATCCACAAGCGTGCAATAGAAGACTCCGCTGGCTTATAAGGAAGCCTTGCCCCTACTCAGCACCTCATAGCCTTCACTTGCGGCCTGATATCCAAACCACCAAGATGCCTGGTCCCATCGTCTACAACGAGACCACTTCATCCGAGCTTGGAGATTTTGTAGCCATCCTTGCCAATCTCACTCGCCGTGCTTTTGATAAAGATGAACCCCCGAAATATGTTGTGTACCTGGAACACACAAGTGATGCCATCCATCACTTTCGGGCTACGGTGAACATCAACGGGAAGGGCACCACATTAGAGCGCCCCTACCGGTTCACCGGGAGGACGACCTTCGACGAGCCCCAAGCCATCCAACTTTTGAAAATTGATTTAGAAAATGTTCATAATTTTTGAAAAATGTTTATAAACAGTATAGAATGTTCATGAATTCAATTTTCCCATGATTTTAGAAAATGTTTGAAAATCTGTGAAATGTTCACGAATTTGAAAAATGTTGTTGGGAGAAGACAAAACACGCCTGTTTGGGCCGACCCATGTCCGGGTGGCCTGTTTTTCAAATTTCGCTTTTATTTTTCGTCTTCTTTTTTTACTTGAAATATTTTGGGATTCAAAAAGTTCCTAAAATAAAAAAAAATGATTTTTGAAATAATTGTTTAATAATTCATAAATGCTCGTGGATTCAGAAAATGTTTGTGATTTTTAAAACATGCTCGCATATTTGTTCGGGAAATATTAAAATATTCATGAACTTTTTTAAAGTTCGTGTATTAAAAATGTTAATGAAATTGAACAAAAATTTGCCAATTCAAAGAGTGTTCATGAATTGAAAAATATCCTAAATAGTCAAAAACTGTCCGTGACTTGCAAAATAGTTTATTAATTCATACAATGTTAGCGGATTCAAAAATGAACATGCATTTCAAAAAGTTCGTTAAATCAAAAAAAGTTTGTGAATTAAAAAAATTATTCCACCAATTTCCGAAAAAATGTTCGTCGATCCTAGAAATATTCGCCTATTCATGAAAAATGTTTTAGAAAATGTTACAACTTTAGATTTTTTTTGCAAATAGTATAAAATGTTCATGAATTCTTTTTTTCATGATTTAAAAAATGTTCGAAAATCTCTAAAATGTTCATGAATTTGAAAAATGTTCTCGATTGCAGATATGTTCACGAGTTTAAGAAATATTCATGTTTTTCAAAAATTGTTCAAGATTTCACGAAAATGAGAGAGATAGTGTATCTCGATGATACAACAAAGTGTGGTCATGACCATTGAAGATTATGATATATTTTTCCTCCCGTTGAAACGCACGGGTCCGTTTTGCTAGTAGTAATAAAGCAAATAAAAGTGAGTAGCTCTTACAATGTGAGTGCGGCGTTTCGGTGCCCGGGTGCATCTGCACCCGTTCAAAAAAAAATTCGTAAAAAATTCAGAAAAATTCAGAAAATTCCGAAAAAAATTGAGGTGGTGGACAATTTGATGCGTGAGGTGCGCCCCAATTTTCAAAACATTTGGACTTATGTGCAGCTCTCAGCAAAAAAGACAAATCAGACCAAAACAGTACATGAACAGTACACATTTTTACAGACCTCCGATTTATCTTTTTTGCTGAGAGCTGCACATAAGTCCAAATGTTTTGAAAATTGAGGCGCACCTCACGCAGTTTTTTTTGGAATTTTTTGAATTTTTTAGTATTTATTTTAATTTTTTTGGTGAGCGCAGGTGCAGATGAGCTCGGGCTCAGATTTGGATTTTCGTTACAATGTAACTTAATTTGAATAAGAGAGAGATGCATTGGGGCGTGTTTGGTTGCCCGCATGGTGGTTGGTACGCGGCATGTGGAAGAAATCTTTTACTTCACCCAGTGTTCAATTATTTGTCTCACATCAATTCCCTGCGTCACACGATGTTTAAAGCACTCCAGGGCCAGGCTGAGGAGGAACGGCTGAATTGGCAGTTTTCACTCATGCAGGCTCGCACGTACCACCAGGTAAGAAAGATTCTCTCCTTTTTCATGTCACAATGCATGCTTTTCTCACAACGCATGCGGGAAGCCGCCGCTACCAAACGCGCGAGCCTACATACTGCGAAACCCCACCAACCACCATGTAGGTAACCAATCAACATGCATACGTCGCTTTTTTGCACTGTTTTTCTTTAACCATGCCCTGCTCAGCCTGACTCGTTTTACTTGTACAGCTTGACCCGATGGCCGCAGGCAACCAAACACGCCCTCAAAGCTCATCAGCCCCAAAACTTAGGGCATGTTTGATTGTCATACTTGTACACACCAGCACATTTCCATGCCACAAATCTTGGTAATGCCGGCTATATCTTTCTAGCGGGTAAAGTGATAGATACACTTGTGATAAAAACGGGCTACCGAATAAATCAGTGAGAACTGGTCATTAGCGTGACATGCCGCAACTATGGTTGCAACCACCAAATCGAGAAACCGCAGGCTACTCTGTGCTGACCAAGTGAAACACGGAGGTGAAACTCAAGGGCATCATCGCAGGCGCCGTAAGATACCTTCGTCTGATTCACCATGTACAGCCACACAACGAACAAGTAGTGTATGCCAAGAACAGAACCAAGCATGTCAGCGTTTTGCAACCGTGAGGGCAAGGGGATCGGCTGCTCTGCGTCGGACGTGGGACATGGGGACGCCTCGCCTTTTGGCTCCGTCAGATCACGCTCTGACTGCTTGCACTTCGGGTGGATACGTTCCTGGTTCACAAAGACTTCGAGGCAATTTAGAACACCCCATAGAATATAATGTACTAGTAATAGCCTGCACCACATACTTGATCAGGACATCATGCCCTCCCATAGATAACAGTTTCTCAACCCAACCTCGTATCTTATTCCAAATTCTGTCTTGAAAGTTCATATTTGAAAGTTTAGTTTTTGGATCTTCAAACTCTTCACTTAGCAACTACTTCTTCTAGCCACATTGCCCACGTTCTTATGGGCTTACAGTGGCAACAACCGGCTGCTAAACTCGCATTGGGCAACATGGTCCGGCCCAACAAACAGCAGAGATATGGAAATAGTCATGTTGGGATGCTGGAGTATTTGGATTCAGAGAAATGGTCAAGTATTCAGAAACATTCAGCCAACTCACTCGAAAGGCAGATTTTAAAGTGTCTCAAGATCTAGTTGAAGGATAAATATTCAGAAGAATTTCAGCAATGGTTTGATATAAAATTTTAGTGACATGATGGACATGTTCCCAAAAACTGGAGTTGGTTAAATCCTTAAACTGTTATTTGTAGGACTTTTTTTTTAGTTTTCTACTCTTTCCTCCCCACTTTTTAACATACTGGTTATATATGAGAAAATTGCCGTAGAACAATTGTTCTACCGTGTGAGGCTTCAAGAAAAAAGCCAGCAGATCAGTGATCTACTAATGCTCAAGTTGGCTCAAAAAAGAAAAGGAAAAATAGTACTGCAGTAGACTGCAGTCAATTTTTCAATCTTCAGGCACAAATTGTTCCATTAGTTTTTTATATAAATAATTTTCACAATATAGTTTTGCCAGTCAAATATAATTTACTACTATACTCTTAAAATTCATGAAAGTAATACTGCCTCGGGCAACATATATGGTGCAGACTCCAGACTGAAAAACGTAACACTGCATCGTAAGCAACCCATCAATATATATTCCATTCACAGGACTTTTCCACAGTCCTCACATCTCCCACTAATGTACATTTACAAACCACACGGACATACCTCACACCCAAACAGAAGAAAATATTTGAAACCCATAGAGAGATGCCGTTCCAAGCTACAAATCACTCCGGCATCTCCTGACCACAGCACATTCTGACAATCTCATATGCCACCATATATTTGCATGTATGGCTGTGAGACCGCCGAACGGCACCGATACATCTGTACTTAACAACCTATTTATCGTACCAATCTGTATTGTAAACCGAGTAACTTAATTAAGAGAGCAAGTGGAGGAAGAAGTAGCTGAAGCTTTGCAGGTGCAGCCATTTTTGGTTGCTGGCTCAGGCTGATCAGTCCACCATATTTTTGGTCGCCGCAGCCGCTGCGAACCTGGGCTCCTTGTCCTGGAACTTCTGCTTGATGTACACCTCCATGTAGTCCCCGAACGAGAAGCTCGGGTAGTCGCCGGAGTCGGCGGCGGCCGGGATCGCCGGCGCGATGGTGGCAGCGCGCGCCGGGTTGTAGAAGGAGGCAATGGAGCGACGGTTGCCGTCGCGGGTGGCCAGGACGCGGTGCCACGCGCTCTTGTACCGGCCATTGCTCATCACCTGTGATCAAGTTGATTGCAGTAAGTAATTTGAAGATATTCTCGATTCAGAACCCAAATTTTTTGTGGTGGTTTGTTGGGTTGACTGCTCATTTCTTTATGAGCCTCTCCAGATCACAAAGCAAGATGATTAATTAACGTGAGCTCCACAAGTCCACCAAGACCAGCATGATAGTACAATACTGTACTACTCAACGTACCTCAATCTGGTCGCCGGTGTTGATGACGATGGCGTTCTCCACGGGCTGGACGTCGGCCCAGCGGCCATCGCGGCCGAGCACCTGCAGCCCGCCGACGCGGTCGTCCTGGAAGAGAAGGATGAGGCCGCCGGCGTCGGTGTGGGCGCGCAGCCCGTCCACCATCTCCGGGCGCGGGCACGGCGGGTAGTGGCTCACCTTGGTGCCGTAGAAAGGCTCGAAGTCGCCGTCCTTGGAGAAGACCTTGGTGATTTGCCCTTCCTCCAGCCCCAGAAGCTCCTCCATGACGCCCAGCATCTTCTCCGCCAGCTTCTTCAGCTCCGTCCTGTACTCCATCATCGTCTCCCTGCAGAGTGCGACGACGATCAACAAACGCCACCAACAAAAACTGGGCATCTGACTGATCATCTGTCCCTCACTTACTTGAAGGTTGGAGGGATGGAGGGCCATGGCAGGTCGTCGTGGAGGGTGAAGACATCCTCCCAATCCATGCCTTCGACCTTCCTTGGGGCGAGGCCCTCGCCTTCCTGCTCCACCAGGGCCGCCAGGGCCTTGACCGCGGGGTTGGACCTGTTGAACCCATCCTCGCGCAGCTTGTAGCAGTCGGTGCACACCTTCTTCACCCTCTCCAGCAGCTCGTCAGGGATGCCAGTGTTCACCAGCTGCATCACAGGATCCTCTCATCAGTATCATGGAACATTTGGCATCCATTGTTGAACCTCTGAATAGCTATATATATGCGTATGCTTACCTGGAAGAACCCCCACTCCTCGAACCCGGCGGCGATCTCCGCCAGGGCAGCCGCCCTCTCGTCGCCATCAAGCCTGGAGAAGTCGATGACAGGGATCGCCATTGCACGTCTCAGGTGTGTCGATTAGGTAGCTACCAGCAATGACTCTGGAAATTGGAAGGTGGAAGAAGAAGAAGAAGGGAGATGGTGTCGAAGCTGTGAGGCCAAGCCCCCTTTTATAACTGCACCAAGTTAGGTGTCAAAGGTTAGTTTATTCACCACAATATATTCTTGTGTGTGGGAACCCCAATTAAGGGGGGTTTGAATTGGTTTGCAAGGCAGAGGCATCGTATCATTCTGGCCGGTGTTTACTTTGGTTCTTGCAATGCGGGTTATTTTCTAATAGTATTATGTGATCGGTGATCGATGGCGAGTTTGGGGTTCTTGGGATTAAAGAAATGTGTTGCAGGGTCAATGTAGGGGGAGAGTCAGATGATAGCCCATTCATCATGTCTGCAGCTGCAGCTGCACCTCAATTATAGAGCGACGTGTAGCACGTCTAGCTCGTGGAAACTTTATTTTGATTTGTTTTGTTACTTCATTTTTGTCGTTCTCAACTGCCAAATGTAGGTATTGTAGCTGATCTAGGGATATAAAAAATACGAGTGTCGTGCTAGTATCATAGTATACGGCTGCTTGTAATTCGTAAGTTAGTATCATACATATGATGTGATACTACCTTCCTAATGCATAGTATCATAGACTAATATCATAGATGACTTTATTTATTACTATGCATGACACATAGTAGCATAACATTTATTATGATACAGTATCATGATATGAGGCTGGCCATAGTGGGGGTAACATAAGTAGTATCATGCACTTGGGACTCACAAACATGCCTATGTGGCAGTCAATTAAAAAAAAGAGATAGATGGTTATATTAACATAGGTAGATATTGTAACATAATAAATATTATGCTTCTATGTGTCATGCATGGCAATAAATGAGACCACCTATGATACTAATCTATGTTACTATGCACTATTGATGTAGTATGATACACTAGTATAATATGCATGATACTAGTATATGATACTCCCCACTATGACCAATCTTACCCTCTCTCTTTTTTAATTCTTTGCCACATCAACGTGTTTGCTATTCTCGAGTACATGATACCCGCTATGATACCATCACTATGGCCAGCCTAAGGTTTTGGGGTTGAAGCTAATTAAAGGCAACAGCTAAAGGGGCACTGAATTTCTGCAAATGTACATGTCTACCAATTTTTTCTTTTGTATCCGCTATCTATTAGTTGCGTAAAAACCATTTAGATCAGTCGATTTGGGAGGGGGGAAGGGAGAGATAGTTCCTCACCGGCGAAGGCAAGAACGAGGGTTGACCGGTGTGCGTGGAGGACCTTTTCATTTTCGCTGCCGCTTAGATTATGTAGTTGCCGAGCTCAAGATGAGGACGCCGCGGTAAGGGTGGTAGGGAGAGGTGTCCAGGGAGAGAGAAGTGTGATGTATGGAATAGGTTGAAAGAGTGCAAAAACGGTTGGAGGAAGAGAAAACATATCCATCCTTTCTGTTTCTAATCTAGTGACTCGAAGTTGTTCGTTTCCAATCAACTGAAGTTAGAAAGGAAAAACTCAGTTACCTCAATCATAAGTATTCCATTTCTCTTTGGTTTGGGCACCAAGTGTGCACCATTAATTCTATTTAGGGCTATTAGGAACGTTAAGAAGTATCTACTATCAGCAGTCCACTAGTATGCCGCTAGTATCATGTCCCCGGTGAACTAACGGTGTGAATTTTGCACACCCCTACACTACAGGAATGTCATAAGTTGCCAAGTCACCAGTAGAAAACAGGGTTTTGGTCCAGGCCAAAAAAGGGCATTAATCCCGGTTCACTCACGAACCGGGACCAATGGGGGCATCAATCCCGGTTTGTGAGGCCAGGGCGCCGGCCGGGCCTCGGGGGCCATTGGTCCCGGTTCGTCTGACCCCTTTGGTTCCAGTTCCAGACATGAACCGGGACCAATGGGCCTCGCTCCTGGCCCACCACCTTTAGTCCCGGTTGATGGCTAGAACCGGGACCAAATGGGGTCCTTCAGTCCCGGTTCTAGCCACAAACCGGGATTAAGAGAGGCCTATATATACCCTCTGCCCGCGAGCAGAGCAGTGCACTGCTCTGTTTTTTGGCTGGCCGTGGGAGAGCTTTGTGGTGCTCTAGCTTACTGATACGTCTCCAATGTATCTACTTTTCCAAACACTTTTGCACTTATTTTGGACTCTAACTTGCATGATTTGAATGGAACTAACCCGGACTGACGCTGTTTTTAGCAGAATTGCCATGGTGTTATTTTTGTGCAGAAATAGAAGTTCTCGGAATGACCCGAAAATCAATGGAGAAACATTTTGGAATTAATAAAAAATACTGGCGAAAGAATCAACATCAGGGGACCCACACCCTGTCCACGAGGGTGGAGGGCATGCCCCCCCTATGGCGCGCCCCTGCCTCATGGGCCTCCTGAGGCTCCACCGACGTCAACTCCAACTTCATATATTCATGTTCGGGGAGAAAAAAATCAGAGAGAAGGATTCATCGCATTTTATGATACAGAGCCGCCGCCAAGCCCTAATCTCTCTCGGGAGGGCTGATCTGGAGTCCGTTTGGGGCTCGGGAGAGGGGAATCCGTCGCTGTCGTCATCATCTACCTTCCTCCATTACCAATTTCATGATTCTCACCGCCGTGCGTGAGTAATACCACCGTAGGCTTGCTGTACGGTGATGGGTTGGATGAGATTTACCATGTAATCGAGTTAGTTTTGTTAGGGTTTGATCCCTAGTATCTATTATGTTTTGAGATTGATGTTGCTATGCCTTTGCTATGCTTAATGCTTGTCACTAGGGCTCGAGTGCCATGATTTCAGATGTGAACCTATTATGTTTCCATGAATATATGTGAGTTCTTGATCCTACCTTGCAAGTCAATAGTCACCTACTATGTGTTATGATCCGGTAGCCCCGAAGTGACAATAATCGGGACCACCCCCGATGATGACCATAGGTTTAGGAGTTCATGTATTCACTAAGTGTTAATGCTTTGGTCCGGTACTCTATTAAAAGGAGGCCTTAATATCCCTTAGTTTCCAATAGGACCCCGCTGCCACGGGAGGGTAGGACAAAAGATGTCATGCAAGTTCTTTTCCATAAGCACGTATGACTATATTCGGAATACACGCCTACATTACATTGATGAACTGGAGCTAGTTCTGTGTCACCCTATGTTATAACTGTTGCATGAGGAATTGCATCTGACATAATTATACATCATTGATCCATTGCCTACGAGCTTTTCACATATTGATCTTTGCTTAGTTACTTTTCTGTTGCCACTGTTACGATTACTGCAAAAACTGCTATTGTTACTTTTGCCGCCATTACCGTTACTTCCATACTACTTTGCTGCAGATATTAAGTCTTTTAGGTGTGGTTGAATTGACAAATCAACTACTAATACTTGAGAATATTCTTTGGTCCTCTTGTGTCGAATCAATAAATTTGGGTTGAATACTCTACCCTCGAAAACTATTGCGATCCCCTATACTTGTGGGTTATCAAGACTATTTTCTGGTACCGTTGCTGGGGAGCATAGCTCTATTCTTTGAGTCACTTGGGATTTATATCTGTTGATCACTATGAGGAACTTGAAAGATGAAAGAACCAAGATTTTTCTCTCAACTACGAGGGGAGGTAAGGAACTGCCATCTAGCTCTGCACTTGATTCACCTTCTGTTATGAGTAAATTTGCGACACCTACACCTCTATTGATTCTGATATGTCGCATGTTATTGATGATGCCACTTCTGCTATGCATGATGCTTATGATGGAACTACTTCTATGCTCGATAATGTTGTGCCATTAGGTGAATTTCTTGATGAACAACTTGCTAGGGTTAGAGAGAATGAAATTATTGAAACAGATAATATTGATGAAAGTGATGATGAAGATTCTCCCCTAGATATGAATTGCCTGATGTGCCTGAGGGTTATGTTATGGATGAAGAAACTACTAGAGACCTTTTTACTTGCAAAGATAGATATGATCTTAAGAAACTGTTAGCTAAGCCGAAATAAAAGTCTTTGAATGCTAGAATGAAATATGACCATGCTTTTGCTACTTCACCTATCTGTATTTCTGATAAGGATTATGATTTCTCTGTCGATCCTAAGTTAATTACTTTGGTTGAATCTGATCCTTTTTATGGCTATGAATCTGAAACTATTGTGGCACATCTTACTAAATTGAATGATATAGCCACCCTATTCACTCATGAGGAAAAAATTCATTACTACTATATCCTTAAGTTATTTCCATTCTCATTAAAGGGCGATGCTAAAACATGGTTTAATTCTCTTGCTCCTGGTTGTGTGCATAGTCCCCAGGATATGATTTATTACTTCTCTGCTAAATATTTCCCCGCTCATAAGAAACAAGTTGCCTTAAAGGAAATATATAATTTTGTGCAAATTGAAGAAGGGAGTCTTCCACAAGCTTGAGGGAGGCTTCTCCGATTAATTAGTGCTTTGCCTGATCATCCTCTCAAGAAAAATGAAATACTTGATGTCTTTTATAATGGACTAACCGATGCTTCCAGAGACCACCTGGATAGTTGTGCTGGTTGTGTTTTCAGGGAAAGAACTGTTGAGCAAGCTGAATTGCTATTGAATAATATATTGAGTAATGATAATGATTGGACACTTCCTGAACCAACTCCAAAGAAAAGGGGTATTCTATTTCTCAGTCCTAAAGATATGCAAGAGGCAAAGAAATCTATGAAAGAAAAAGGTATTAAAGCTGAAGATGTTAAGAATTTACCACCTATTGAAGAAATACATGGTCTTGATAACCCGACACAGGTAGTAAAGGTAAATTCTCTCTATAGATTTGATGAAGGTGATATTCCTCGTTATAAGTCTGCTAGCCAATGCTTGGATGAGTTTGATAATTTTATTGTTAAGCAAGAAAACTTCAATGCTTATGTTGATAGACAATTGAAACGTAATGCTTATATGATTGAACACTTGAGTGATTATATGTCTAGAGT